TTTCAGACGTCATAGAATTAATTCGTTCAAATATCTTGGGCCATTCAATTCAACTTCTTGGAATGGTCAACAATAGTTTATTATGTTCCTAGAAGAATTTTTCTCACTATGGCGATCTATATCTCATTTATGAGAAATCTCAAACACTGAACATGTTCAAAGCATACAAGACTGAGGTTGAAAAATAACTCCGTAAAAGAATTTAAGAAGTCAAATCTTACAATAGTGGTGAATACTATGATAGATATGACGGATCAGGATAACAACGTCCAGGGTCTTTGCTAAAATTAAGGATTTTGTCTTAAAAAGAAGAATATATATATTCTTTTTTCAAGAAAATGAGGATGACATGAATTGATGGAAGAAAAACTGATAATCAACTTTCATCAAACAATGCAAAAGAGTAATTCTAAAAAGTGGATTGATATCATGCATAAAGAGATAAAATTCATAAGTGACAATGACATTTGAGAACACGTCATATTGCCTGAAAATAGGAAACTTATTGATTGTAATTGGATATTTAAAACTAAGAGAGATTCGAAGGGCGATGAGAGATATGAGACTCGTCTTGTTACAGATGATTTTATTCACAAGGAATGCATTGACATTAAAGATATTTTTTCTCCAATTTCTATGGAAGACTCTTTTAGGACAATTATGACATTTGTGACACATTTTGATCTTAAGTTACGTCATATGTTTTACAAATTAAAGAAGTCCATCTATGGACTTAAACTGATTTCTCGTAATGGCATCACAAATTTCATCAAATAATTATCTCACTCGATTTCGAGATGAATTCGATTGAATATTGTGTATATCACAAGTTCAGTGGGAATAAGCATATTTTTTGGTATTGTATGTCGATGACATACTTTTTGTCTATAATGATAAAAGCTTATTGCACGAAATCAAGATATTTGTATTATGAAATTTTGAAATGAAAAATCTTGATGATACCTCTTTTGTATTAATGATATAGATACACATGGATCGTTTTCGGTGTATTTTTTTTATTATCACAAAAGAGTTATATCGATGAGTTTTTAAGAGATTTGAAACGCAGATATGTAAATCAGGTAATATCCTTATTGTTAAGGAAGACAAGGTTAGTTTAAATTAATACCCTGAGGATAAAGTTAAATAAAGAAAAATACAGAAAATTCTAAGTGCTTCAGCAGTTCGAATGGAACGACGTCATATTTTTTGGTTGATGTATATCCTCATTTAATATGGTCGGAGAATCCAACAAACATCAGCCTCAATCTTGTGTTGTTTTAAGGATGCAATGAAGCACACGATACAAGAAGTGGATTGGTTTTATAGAAAGACGATGTACTTCAACGACCCAATTATGTAGTCGCATTAACCCACCAAAAAAAATATTATGAATAATGTATGAAATACCTGTTTGATCGGAAAAAAAACAATGAAATGAAGCCTTCAAATAGCCAGATGAACGCAATATACGTTTTATATTATCAATCAATTTCTGTATGCATTGTGGGATATTTGTAATAAATATGAAATTCAAAATCCCAATTCAATTCGTATTCCAGAGCCTACATCAATTTGAATTTGAAATCTCATATCAGCTACAATGCATTGATTGGAAAAGGTGATAATTGTGAGAGAATTTTCAATTACAATCCAAAATATGGAAAGTCTACATGTCAGTATTTTTAATTATAGGGCATGTCTGGTATCAAAGAAATTGGCCAAAATAATTGCTTTTCTTACCGTTGCGGATCACATCAGCCGCAACGTTTGATCGGCCATGGGTGGTGCGGGCCCTACTAACGGTCACTTTATTGATTAAAATTGGCCCAAAATGACCACCAGACAGACCCATAATATATACCATATAAAGTAAAAAAAGATATATATATTAAAGTAGTTTTAGCAATTGTTATTTATTCACGGGCACATGTGAATTTTTCCATTTTTTTTATTTAGCCCACGTTTGGTTTAGATAAAAATCGGATTTTTAATACAAGTTGAAAAAAGTTGATAAAATGTGCTATTGAAAAATTATGAATCTCATAAAATATGTTATTATAATTAATTATTAATTTTGACATAAATTTTAAGCTAAACCAAATAGGGACCTAATGTTAATTAGAAAAAAATGAGCACTTAGATTGGCTCAATGTGAATTAGGAGGATGTGTTGTCAAATTGTTGAACGTTGAGTTTGCTTAAATTGATGTACTAAATTTTTATGAACCGGTAAATTATACTTGTGATATTTTATTACCACACATTGTATTTCACAAGCTAAATACTTGTTGGCATTAGAACGAGGGACTAGGGCATCTTCAATGCATTCTATTGACGGTCATTTATGTAGCACGAAAGTTAAAAGACTTTCAATATACGTGACAATGAAGTTCAATAAACAAACACATAAATTAAAAATTGATCTACATTGCATTCTATGAATTGTCCTTTATTTTCTTAATAGAAACATAACCACACCTATATATATCACTCCGTCTAACGGAACTTCTGAATATTAACAGAACATTTATTATTTTTCATGACCGTAAGCTTGACAAAGTCGTCGTCAACTTACATTAAAGAGAAGGATCTTCTTGACAACCATTATTTTTTACTCGCGTGACAATTTTTTAATTAATCTAAAGTTACATTGGAGGTGCACTTACCTTCTAGAGGTGATATAAGTTTGATTTTGCGCTCATTTTAGAACACTAGCTCTTAGCGGTGATATAAGCAATCTTAAACATGACGTCATTCATGAACATTTTTAACCTCTCGAGGAAAAAAAAAACATATTATAACCCTTTGTGGTCATATCTCTAACCTGCTCCAATCTCGCATTCTCACACTATAAAGCAAGATATGTTTTAGCTATTAACATTAAGCTCACACTTCCTTCTTGAGCCCCAAAAGTGCACACTATAATAAGAGGCAGAAGTTTATTAGTAGGCAAATAGGAGGTTCTCCCCGACCAGGGGCGGACGCAGAACTTTAAACTTATGGGGGCACAATCGAACTTATAAAAAATTTGAAAAAAATTTTACAATAGAAAATTTACGTCCAAAAAAATATACCCCGTGTAATTTTGCATCCGAAAATTTACATGTGATATAATTTTATCGGATGTAAAATTTCGAAATTTTTTTATATTATATTTCATATAAAATTTCCTAATAAAATGATGAAAATTATATTGAGAAATTTGTATCGCAAAAATAATAAATATTAATGAAATAATTGAATTTTTAAAAAAAAGTGAGTTAGACGTCTTTTTTAAGATTCACGTTTNGAGTTAGACGTCTTTATTTAAGACTCACGTTTAACACATTTTTAACTATTTTTGATATATGTTTGGACTATTTGATATGCCCATAATGTAGTTCTCGAAATAAGATTTGAGATGACATAAATTTGTATATTCGATTAGCGTACGATTATCGGAGAATTTTTAAAATTAGCATATTACCGAAATTCAAATTATTGTGATTTTGCCTATTTTTTATGGAGATTAAAATCAAATTTTTAGTAAATTTTGATAAAAGTTAAAACAATTATGGATTACATGGAATATGTTATTAAAATTAATTGTTAACTTTGATTTAGATTAATATTTAGATTTCAATCGATACCAAATACGACTTAAAAAAAATCTCAAAAGTTGGGGGCACGTGCCCCCCATGACCCCCGGGTCCGCCAATGTCCCCGACTACGGATCCCATCCCACAAAATGAAAATCCAAAAACCCCAATTGCCAAGGTGATACCATCTCTTCATGAATTTGAGCGCCTCAGGATTTAGCTATTCTTCGTGCTTCTCAAGTGTGACGGTGTAATGGTCCATGGAATGGAACACTGACGCAATGCCTTAATCTTGATCAACATAATCAAGACTGAACCAATATAAAGATTTTCGCTCATTCCAAACTCACACAACAAATTTTTAGCTATCTATGTCAAATCTAGGGCTGGACAAAACTCCCTAACTGAATCGGACCGAACCAAATCGAGCGGTTCTTCATAAGTTAAATATCTGAACGGGTATCTGAATCGAGAACCGATGAATTTGGTTCGGTTCTCGATGAATTTGGTTCGACTCTCGATTTTAGACCAAGAACCGAATAACCGAATCTAAATAATTTTTTTAGTTTTTTATATTGAATTAATTAAATTATTTTAATTTTTTCTAAACAAATTAGAAAATTAACTAATTTAGTTGAACAAATTTTAGTTTATTTGTGTTTGTTAATTGTGTTTTTTCAATTATACTTCTAGAGTTTCTTAGTATGACAAGTCAATCAATTAATAATTAAATCAAATAGTTGGTAAATATTACCAATACATAAAAATATTTTATTTTTATAACTTTTAATTTATATTTCATTTTTTTATGTAATCTGCTTGAAGCATAGGAATTATTGATACGGATCACTAATGTTTTGGTATTAGTATCTATTTTTTGGTATTTGTATACATTGAATTAATCTTATTGGATTTGTTATTTATATGTTTTTAAATTGGGTTACGTTAATCTGTAAAAAGTTACGAATGAACATGTCATTAGTTGTATTAATGTAGTGTTGATGTAAATATTAAGAAATTTAATTATGGTACGGATCCGAATCGAACTGTTCTATAATTATATTTGGACCCGACGATTCATTTATTAAATACCCAAAAATTTTGGTTCGATTCGGTTCGATTCTCTNGGACAGTTGCACTAAGGAAGAGAGCCAGGGATTTGGTGGGTGGGGTGGGATCACACTGTGGTGAGTAAATCAGCAAGAAATGCAAATCATGAACACATAGCTAAAATGAGATGCCACGTATTATTAGAGTAATAGGAGGCAAAATAAACAATGACTACAGTTGGGTTAAAAGTTAAAACAAAGTGAAATCTTAAACCATACCCAACTTGTCAGCATATTGCTGAAAATCACGTAGCTTTCATGTGTAGATAATTAATTTAGCAATACTAGGGCTTGTTGAGTAGGTTTATCCTTCAGGGTGTCTTGGCCTTCACTGGTGATGGAAGCAACTGCAAGATAAGTATTTTGTTATCAAAACTCAAGAGCAACGGTAAGCAAACATACTATTGCAACTTGCAAGGTGGCAGATAAACCCTCCCCGAGACTTTTGCCGTCCAATAATGTAATTTCTGAACTTGTATACGTGAATATATTATAATTGTTCCTGGAAATATTACTACATTCTAACTGCCCCCAAAAAACTCCCTAGTTATCAGTAATCTTCGTTCTAACTAGCCTAAAAATTAATTAAAATGGCATGACAAGTTTGAACATTGAAGTTTTCATGATTTCAAAGCAATTGGTCCTCATAAGATGGTAATTCGGCATTTGAGCGTGTTTGGCTAAGCTTTAAAAAGTGAAATGTGTTTCCAAATACAATTGGATAACTTACCTTTTTCCTACTTTGAAAAAAAAAAGTGTAACTCTTGACTTGACCATCAAAATAAGTAACTAAGTAATTTCCAACTTTGATCAATCAAAAAAAATCTTTATTTTGAAACAAACTTATTTAGTTATAAGTAAACTTTTTAAGCATAGCCAAACATGCCCTCAGTCAAGTACTTGAAAATGACGACAAACCATTAAATAGAAATTGGCCGGTACCTGATAACAAGAGATGAGCGAGCTACCAAATCCGATGGCACCTGTTACACGAGGAGTGACCTTGTTGGGTGCCAGTTTAAGCAACCCAGCTGCAACAACAATATCCATGCCTGCTTTAACCAAGGCTAGAGACCTCTCGTTTGACTTTTGAAGCTTGCTGCAGTACTGCTCATTCTGCAATGGTAATGCAACAAAATAAACCACCATATATACTATATCATCCAGATGAAATAAAGGTTAAGAACTGCCAATTAGTTTAGCAGGTGAACAAAGAGCAGACCTCGTATTTATTTGTGTTCTTAAGTTCCTTCTCTAACTTCTTCATTGAAGCTGAAAGCCTCCCAAGTTCCGCAATCTGCCGTCACACACAAATACACCAGACATAAATACATGGTTCTAACTTGTAAGCACTTATTAGGGTAAAATTATGTCACCAATGCGTCATACCTCGACAAGAGTGTTACAAATTGAAGAGCCCATCCAACAGAAAAGGGATATCCTTCCAATTAGTTCCGTTTTTTCTTTGTTCTGCATAAAAATGATTATTTAGAGCTCTCTGGCTTACATGTATTGTATAATCACTTACTGATAACAAGAGATGAGCGAGCTACCAAATCCGATGGCACCTGTTACACGAGGAGTGACCTTGTTGGGTGCCAGTTTAAGCAACCCAGCTGCAACAACAATATCCATGCCTGCTTTAACCAAGGCTAGAGACCTCTCATTTGACTTTTGAAGCTTGCTGCGGTACTGCTCATTCTGCAATGGAAATGCAACAAAATAAACCACCATATATACTATATCATCCAGATGAAATAAAGGTTAAGAACTGCCAATTAGTTTAGCAGGTGAACAAAGAGCAGACCTTGTATTTATTCGTGTTCTTAAGTTCCTTCTCTAACTTCTTCATTGAAGCTGAAAGCCTCCCAAGTTCCGCAATCTGCCGTCACACACAAATACACCAGACATAAATACATGGTTCTAACTTGTAAGCACTTATTATGGTAAAATTATGTCACCAGTGCGTCATACCTCGACAAGAGTGGTACAAATTGAAGAGCCCATCCAACAGAAAAGGGATATCCTTCCAATTAGTTCCGTTTTCTCTTTGTTCTGCATAAAAATGATTATTTAGAGCTCTCTAGCTTACATGTATTGTATAATCACTTTCCAAACTATTGTCAAACTAGAGAAGAGAAATTCAAAGCATACCTTGTATATGCCAGTCCTGCCAAGCCACACAATTTGATCAAGAAACAAGAACGTGGACAATAATGCATTTTTAGACTGAAACAAACACCAACTGAACACGTCAAGACCAATAAAGGAAAGAGAGTGAGCGTGAGAGGAGGAATGGATAGAATTCCACAACTAAGATGTTTTACCTTTCCCAACAAAATCAGAGGAAGTGGAGTTCCTGGAGCAGTTGGACTAATAAGAGCATGCAAATCATTTATAAACTGCAAAAATGAAGAAAGACAAAAACTTGTCAAGAACATAAAGATGATCATAACAGCTCTTTGTATTCCAGGGTACTGCATATAAAAGCTCCGTTCTTCCCACATGAACACACATAAAAAGAAAACAAGGATGGGAAAGAATTTGATATGAAGCTTAAAATACCTTCAGAAACCACAAGAATATTCCATGTAAAACAGACATGCCTCACAACAACATGTGGAAACATACAAGTAGAGCTTACCTTAAACAGACGGAACACTTTTCGTGCCAAGCTGGTGGATTTGTCGACATTTTGGGCTGTGCCTGGCTCTCCATTACTGACAAATTTTGAACCATATTGGATTGCCCTGCATATCTTGTCCCTGGCTTCAGCTTTGTTCAGATACAAAACCGCAAGAGCAAGCTCTGTTCTAGCTACATCCAATGTACTCATATTTTATCTTGGTCAATCTGAAAGGTCAAGACACCAACTAATTCCATTCAGCAAAATTGAATAGTTCACACCCAGGCAGATAATTTCAACATAAAAGAAATGATATGTCTGCACAATTTCGCAAACATTAAATAATTGTTATGACCAAACCCAATTGTACCTCAAAAAGTAAGAATAATGTAATAGGCTTTATGAATGAGGCCCTCTTCAACATATCTAGGGTTACAAATTACATTATGAACTATGATGCTGCTGCAATTCATATCTGACGACAAAACCAAGTGCAAGGAACTACACATTATGCAGGACTTACAGCTGCAAGCCATCTTCAGAGCTCTTCAAGATTTACCTTTCAGCTTCCAAACTCCAAAAAAACCCCAACATTGATATGAAAGATGTCAACAAAGCCAGCACATGTGAGTGGCATTACCACATCAGATTGCAAGGATGATGCCATAGACCATTAGAATATGGATGAAGTGCCTTCAGTGTAGTGACAACTTTTCTTTAATGGAGGACCAAATAATGTGACATTGGTAGAACCGTAGAAGGATTATATTGCTTTGGCCCACAGTGCACAATTAGATTTTTCCCCTAACCCCATATTATACCCGATTTTCAATCAATTCTACAGCAATATCAAAGGATCCATGACATGTTCAAATTAAACTTCTGCTTTTCCTCTTTCCTTATAACCAAATTTTTGACAGAAATCCACTCCCCTTTCAATAATGTATATTTGCTTTTAACGTGAAACTTTGAGCGGAAGCTGCCGATAATGTATGAAGGAGCAGATCTAATGGTGCCTTAGATTAATTCAACACTGTCTTTTGTTATCCTTCTATACCACTAATAGGTTTCAGCTAAAATTCAGCAAGAGTTCTTTCAATTTTACTTGTTAGCTTGTAATCACATCTATTTAGTATCAACTATCAGTAACATAATATATTAATTCTCAGAAACATAGCTTTTAAACTCTTTCTATTCCATTTCATTGGAAAAAGAAAAAAAATAACTTTTACATTCCATACATCACCAACACTTACAACTTCGTTTTTTTTCTAGGTTATTTAATCTATAACCAATCAATCAGCCTATATCCTTCAAAGAACAAACACACAAACACAGAATCAGTCTAAAGAGAAACTCAAGAGGTACAGGGACATAAATTTTCGAACTTCAAATCTCCAACTCTTTTGTGAAATCCTCACAGTCGCGACAATTAATTAAGTTCAGCACAAAGCGAAAATCACCAAAATAATTACATCATTTCCAATACAAAATTAAACAATAAGAATCGACAAAACAATCATTTTCGTACCTGAGTAGATCTATAACAATCCGGAGAAAAATCTTACACAAATTAAACCAAATACACGAGCATGCATGACATCTATAAATAGTAGAAGTTGTTACCGGGGATTGTGCCGTGGCTATTGTTTCGAACTTCACAACTCTCTCTCTCTCTGAGTGTATATATTTATCAATGTTGTACGATGAATATAAGATAGAGGCCGAGTGATAAAGGCTTTTTTCTATTTTTCTTTTTGGATTTTTCTGAAAGAAAAAGGGGAAAATAATATATTAATTGGGGAAATTTGACTTCAATCGAAGATATATTGCAGAGTTGTTCTGAACTTACTGTTTAAGTAGTAAATTGGTCCTCTATCTTCAAATAATAACAAATTGATTCTCAATTTCTCAATATAATTATACAACTAGCCTCCAATAACCGACATTTTAAAGTCAATTTAGGTATCGACCTAAGAAAAGAATTGATCAAGGGTCAAAAGTGTCAAATAGGTAATGAACCAGTGATAAAATATTAAAAATTAAAGGAGTAAATTTGTGGGTTTTGGAAGTAAATTGCACGATTTTGTGGTAGTTTACTAGTTTTCAAATTGTTGCCTGATATTCGAAGTGTTTCTCAATTTCTGTCGTATAATTGGTGTAGTTCGATTTTGACGAACACTGTCAAAGGGTAGAAACTATTTAAATTTGTTAAATTGTCAAATGTAACTTACTGAAACACATCTTGTTTCAAATTTAGGATTGCTAATTCAGTTTGAGAACAAAACTTTACTTCAAAAGTTGAATAGATGAAGATCGATTAATGTTTTTCAAAGACTTAAGACGGTTTCCGTAATTATATACCAACTGTACAGCTATAACGTTAGGTTGGAGACAAATTTGCTCCTTTTAAAAGATTATCGATCAATTTGTTACACCTGCAATACATTGAGGCTCGATGATGCAATGTCTCTTCGATAATTGGATTTAACACGGCTCAGTTTGGGATAGGCTTCGGACGTCAGCGAAGGACTTTTGACACTCACTCTGGGCCCCCACGGAAAGTTGAACCTCCGGTTGAGTTAGGCATCTAGAATTGGGGAAAAATTCACGTATTGCCAATGAATACAATTATGGTTCGAATCCATATTTTTTACATGGGTTGAGTTAATGTAACGTTAAATGATAAATTAAGAGGGTGTCTGGGAGCACTATTAAAAAGATTTTAATCCAAAAATTGACCGTTTCTTTCCACCACTGGGTCCCACATGTGAAAAAAGAAGTCAAGAATGACTGCTACCAACGGTTTAAAAAGCAATTTCAATGGTAAGATTAGCGCTCCCAGACAGCCTCTAAATTAAATTTATAATTTAATTTTACTTTTCGTTTAGTCTATAACGTAACACTATGGGTTATAACCCCAATCGAGTTAAATAGCATTGTTCTTATTTTTTACATTTTATCGCGTAACAACACGTCATTGGACAGTTTAAATTTTTTGTAATTTTTTCACCCAATAAACACTTACCAACCCACCTCATATCAACCATAATGTCAAAAAAAAAAAAAAATGTACGAGTGGCATTTTTCCAATAAAAGTAAAGAGTGTCATTTGTACATTTCAATGCTTACACATTTGCAAACATTATCCCTTGTTGTAAAAAAATTATTGGTTGAAAAACTTTTTTTTTAATTGTCAAATCACAGTTTGCTATGGTAAAGTGTAAATCATGATGTACACGAAGTATGAATGTAAGAATAAAATAATTAATGATGTACTACAAAATATTTTATATGCTATAAACACTAAATATTGTACTAAAGAAAATTAAATACTGAATGAAACATTTTATTTGGATCTCTAGATTCCATCCAGGATGTAACACATCAATGCTCAACACTAATTTAAGTGACGAAGGATCACACTCTTCAGCTCTTGTTTGATCTCTATTTTAATGAGATTTTTGGAAAAATATTTTTTGGAATAGTAATTTTTTTTTTTGAAAAATGTGGTTAAAAAGTAAAAAATAAAAATTGAATTTACGTGTAATATTATTTTATTGAAAAAAGGTAAAATTGAAAATGAGTTTCAAAAAATTGCATTTTTAGTTTAATGGAACCAAAAAAAAAAACCAATTAATTGTGATGCGTTTTAATTTAATAGGCGATGAATTAGTATAATTAATCGTTACTTAATTTGTAACTAAGCATCAGGCGTAGAATTGTTTTTTAAATTTGGATTAACAGCAGAAAAATACTCTAGAAATGCTTTTATTTACGATATACCCCATACTTATTGGAAATCGCATAAAACTCTCCAATTTGAAACTTTTTGTGTGAAAAATCTCTTTCCGTCAAGATCAAATGTCAAAATTAAAAATGAATAATTGCAAATTTCAGTACCTAAACTTTTGACCTTTTTACAAACTAAATCCAATTTTTTTTCTATATATGCAATCTACGATCTCAAATCTTTAAAATTTTATTTGGTGAAATGAAGAAGCTAATGAACTATATATGCATTTGAGACGCCCACAAACAATGGAGAGAAAATGGAACTTCCCATTAACCATTGGCTCAATAGTTTCTTTGTTTCTTTTGTTTTTAACCACCGTAACCTCACCGAATGGGATGTCGTTATTGCCACTTCAACGATACTACTTTTCATCCGTTGCATCAATTTTCGTCAAGTCGAAGCTCCGCCCTATTTTGATTTCAGCCTTACCACCGCCGTCGCAGCACCTAGCTTATTTGATATTCGACTCAGCAGGAGACGACGGCATGCTCTGACACACCCTCCACGCGCTTTACCATCCACGCATTCAGTATGTGTTTCGCCTCAAGAGAAATGCTACACTTACAACATTTTTACACATACATTTTGACAGCCGTATCACATGGGGGGATTGCGGGCCTCACACCCATATGAGAGGGCTGTCAAACTTACTATGTAAAAAAACTATACATTCAGCCTTTTTCTCCGCCTCAATGTAGTGTCTTCCGTTGAAGAGCGCCTCGACCTGCACAATTACGTGAAAACCCAAGCCATTTTTGGGGAATTCAAGAATGTTCGAAGAAAACATTTGGTAATTCATTTTTTTTCTTTTGTCTTTTCCTTAAATTTTTTTCAATCTTTGATGATATCATAAGTTTTATTCTGGATTTGAAATTTCATAGACTTAATTCAACATTTGTAATGTTAGCATTAGACCCCTACAAATTTGGACGAATATTTAGATTCCCATTTTTAAAATAGCGTTTCTTGAATTGGATCGTGTAAGGATGTCGTTATTGCCACTTCAACGGTACTACTCTTCATCCGTTGCATCAATTTTCGTCGAATCGAAGCTCCGCCCTATTATGATTTCCACCTTACCACCGCCGTCGCCGCACCTAGCTTATTTGATATTCGACTCAGCAGGAGATGGCGGCATGCTCTGACACACCCTCCACGCGCTTTACCATCCACGCATTCAGTATGTGTTTCGCCTCAAGAGAAATGCTACGCTTACAACATTTTTACACATACATTTTGGCAGTCGTCTCACATGAGGGGTGGGGCCCACAATCGAGGGTCTCACACCTATATGAGAGGGCTGTCAAACTTATTATGTAAAAAACTGTACATTCAGCTTTTTTCTTCGCCTCAATACAGTGTCTTCCGTTGAAGAGCGCCTCGACCTGCACAATTACGTGAAAACCCAAGCCATTTTTGGGAAATTCAAGAATGTTCGAAGAAAACATTCGGTAATTCATTTTTTTTTCTTTTTTTCTTTTCCTTTAATTTTTTTCAATCTTTGATGATATCATAAGTTTTATTCTGGATTTGAAAATAGACTTAATTTAACATTTGTAATGTAAGCATTAGACCTTGTGCTCCAAAATATTAATTTCAGTGGGAAAATCACATGATATTTCTAAACCTTGTGCGATTTGATAAAGAACATTTGAGTGATAAGTTCCAATTTTTTCAAGGTCTCAACATTTTGTTTCTTCATTTTCTGTATATTTTAGATTTGATATAGTAGATTTGAGTGATAAGTTCCAATTTTTTCAAGTTCTCAACATTTTGTATCTTCATTTTCTGTATATTACATTTGATAATCACAACACAACAATTCAAGAGTCGAAAAAGGTACTTAAATTGTAATTATTCTTTTTTTATTTTGGCATTTTTTTTACCTTTTTAATCGCACATCTAACAGATCTTGACGGAATGGAGGTTTTTCACAAAAAAAGTTTCAAACATGGAAATTTTCTGCGATTTTCAATAGGTAGAAGCATATCACAAATGAAAACGTTTTAGGGGGCTTCATGCTATTAATTCTTTTAAATTTCAAATATAAAGCTATTAGTCCTTTTATTTTGCATTATTGAATGATATGACGTCTCACTTTTTCAAAAGAAAAGTTACACGCGGTGTAATTTAACTTTTTTAAATAAATTATCTTTGACAAAGTTTACAACGTGCTTATGAGAACTTGTCAAACTAATATCAACCACTGCTTTTATTGTAATTTATTATCATAGGCGTGAATTGAAGGTCTCTAGTACAAAGTGAGATGATGTGATACCATTAATCATAAGGTCACACATTGTGTAATTTGATTATTTGGCATTTTTCTGTCCTCGATCATCAAGCCTGATTGACTCCATTCTTTTTCTTGTCTCTAGCTTCTCGCTACATTTCGTTCATCGAATGTATCTTCGTTTAATGAAGACTCTCGATCGACACCGAGTTTCCCCAACGGTCTTTATCATGGCTCTACGAAGAGAGCCATAACAATTTACATGTATAAATGTTCATAAAACTGGAAGTATGCTACTTGTAGAATACATATATTGATCTTTTCTGAGTACGCAATAAGACATGGATTACATAGATGTGCTAGCTTATGCATCAGAGATCATAGCATCGATCCCTATTTTGATTCATTTAGACAATGTCACAAAATTACACCAGCATTGTACTGTTTCTGTATCATTCAATAATCCTCCTACTTTCTGCTGAACAAGCTTTTCAACATGCCTCTTTCCAAACGCTCGAGTAGTTTCTTGGCGCCCGGGATCTCCATTTCTGTCAGCTTTTTGAGATAACCAATGGCACCGTATGAAATCATCAGCTTTTTACATTTTTTGCTCGAGGAGAGCAACATGAGACAGGAAACAGCATATTTTTTTGCCGTGTTTTGAGGACTTGGATCGAGCAATGCTACCAAATTCGGCACACTTTTGTCATCTTTTTTAACTTCTCGACAATTCTGGGAATCGGACATCAGGCTATAAATTGCTTGTGCAGCAGCCTCCCTCGTGTTATTCAATTTAGCCTCCAAGATCTTAATGAGAAGAGGAATGCATCCAGATTCACCGACTAATCTTCTCATTTCAGTCGAGCTGCAGATTTGACAGATTGCTGATGCCGCAGCTTGCTGCGTACCAAGCGAGCCCGATTTAAGCACTCGAACCAACCTTGGGAGAAGACCTAGTGTAACCAAAACGTCCGTTGAGATCAAGCCAACCAAATTTTTCAATGCCCTGACTGCATATTCTTGAGGCAACGGACCATCCAAATATGCCAGCAGGCTTCTTAGGCCACCTTCAGAAATAACAGACATCCGAAGGTCCTTGTCACTTGAAGTGAGATATTGCAAACATTCGGCTGCATACTCCTTCGATCCCAGCAGAGTTCCGGATTCAAGAAGATCAATAGTTACCTTTACGATTCCTTCGTCTGCAAGTGCTTGACGAACCTCGGGCACAGCAGATATATTCTTTAAGGTACAAGCAGCAGCTACTTGTGAAATGGAATCGCCGGTTCGACAGATGTTGATCAGAGGCCCGACACCACCATGCATGACTATCGAACGAGCTGTTTCCGCTGATGTGGACAACCTCTGGAGAGAAATCGTGGCCTTCTCTTTACCCAAGGCACTACCAGATTCCACAAGTCTTATAAGGGGTGGAAGAACACCTTCTGAAACAAGCCAATTCTCACAACTTCCAGATTCTACAAGTGTGCAGATAACAGAAACTGTTTTTTCTCTTATTCGAGGAGAAGTAGCTGTGAGCAATTGTACTAAAGCCGCAACATTGCTTCTTCCCAAAATAGCCAATATATGCTTGTCGTCCTCTTTCATGACTTCTAAGAGTTTATCAAGAGCTTTTTGTTTAGCCTCTAAATGTCCAATCTGAAGACGGGCAAGCAACTCTCTTATATTGCTATGAATTCCCGCCTCCATTTCGGGCGAAGTTCTTGCTACTACTGATGGCAAAGTTACCTCACCAAGCACTCCAGTTTTGGTCAAGAGCCCACAATCTCGCAAATTCAAATCGAGCTTCCCCAACAAAGCATCTAGATCACTTTGCATTTGAAGCTTCCCCTCATATTTCTCCTTCACACACAACCCGGCTAGACGAATTGCATCATTCAATGTCTTTGAGACAGCTTGCAATTGCTCCTTACAAAGCACGTTCTTTGAGAAGCAAGGGTGGCTAGCCAAATCTGACAACTGTGAAGGCATTTGTTCCAATTTTAATATTATCATCTTCCACTTCCCACGGAACCCTTTAGCCTCCTTTGCCTTCTCCAAAGCACTTGGAACAAGCCTCTGTGCACAAGAAAGCCATTCTTCAGTCGACAGGGCATCAATAGCAGCATCACGTCCACCATCTTCAACCATGATTTCAGTATAGGGAAGGATCAAAGATCCAGCAAAAACTGCAATATAGGGAAACCAAAACTTTATACAATAGACTGGATGAGAACAGTAAAATATCGAGATTTTCCATATAAAATGAAAATTTACATAGATTTTTTTTGCAACAACAGTTTTTAATGTGGAATTCTTTTTCCCTATACATATATATAGATATTTATATTTAACACCCCCCCCCCCCCCCCCCCCCCCCCGAGTGTATGGATGATGGCTCACAATACCTATTGATTGCAATGATTTCAATTCGAGAACTATCCATGTAATAATTAACTTTCACAGACAGAATAGATTAGCATACATAAAATGGTTAATCCGACAACAGAGAAGTGGACGTAAGAGGAATAACAAATCTTCCAAGTGGTGGACCGACAAAGGAAAATTTTAAAATACCTATCAGATTTTGTAATCGCAAAATATTAACGCCGTGGACCAGTTACAAACATCAAACACTAACATACAGGCATTAAAGAGCTACAACAAATAAATAAAGCCAAGGAAGAGGGGACAAGATAAGGGTATCTGAGAATCTTGTATGATCACAAAATGCTGGTTGACTGAAAAAAGAGCCTACAGATAATTACTAAGTTACTAATGAAGCCCCCGTAAGTCGACCGAAAGCTTTATATCATGAGTTCATAAAAACGCAGTTTTCATATTTAATTGCTGCCTAAGCAAACATATTAAAAAGTTAAAAAAATGAAGCTGTAAATGACAGGTGATGAAAGTGAAAGAAGGAACTTTCCAACAGCTATTAATACTGTCCAGTAAAAGCTAGTGTCAACTATTTGTAATATGGCCAGAATACCCTTCTTACATCAAGGAAAATCAAATAGTTATATGCAAATGTTATAAGGTACATAAGGTAATGTGTCAAATTTAAGGGGTAGAATCATCAAAAACCAGATAAGTTACTATCCAACCTGTGAATTGCACATTTCTTGAAGTTAATTCCTTCATTTTTTTTTTTTAAAGTAACGCCATACCATACGACGTGACATTGAATGATAAGATCAATAAGGTGGGTCACATATCCACACATTTAATTGGTCTTATCATTTTCACCCATCACTTGAGATTATCCCAGTGTGTACATATAGCATTACTCTTTTTTTAATTAGGATTGACGATGTGGCGAGGCTAAATTCATAGTTCCGAATTAGTCACTGAAATTTCATTTCGGTTTCAATTTAGGCATTCCGAATAGTTCTATCTGCAAAATCAACATGGTGAAAATCGGTTTTAGTAGCCATCTCGTTTGTGTCAAATGCTTTCTCAAAAAAAAAAAAAAAAAAGAACCCAAATATTATCATCAACCATTCAGCCTTGTGGATACAGTGTATAAGGGGGAAAAAGACTTTGCTTTGAAGAGAAAATGGGGGTGGAGTGTATTCAAAATTTCTGATGCGGGACCAAAACCCCACTAAGAATATTCCAAATTTAAAACACCCAAAAAATCAAAAGAAAGAAAAATAAATACCTCAAGTCTTTCTGGTTGTCTTTTACCTATCATTGAAAGCACTCAGAAACTGAACTTTATCAGCCAGCAATACACACCACTAATGCTTCTGCAACCAAAAATCACAAACAACCATTCTCTTGATGATAAATTAGACTTCTATTGAAATTCAATCATAAAAATGTCTGATATGGAAAAATAAAAATTCTTATTTTTTAATCAATAACCAACCTTAAAGATTCAGAAACAAGAAGGTAAAACCATGTTTCCTCCAATAAAGCAACCTAATATAGGCTTCGAGTTCAAATAAATTCTTCACTCTAATATCTTTGAAGAGATACCAAGAAATTCTACTGAAAAGGGTTACTTTAAAGATTTGAACTTCTAAAAATCTTTGCTATAAAAGGTTGCACTTAAAGACTTGAACTTCGAAAAATCTTGCTGTCAACTGTAAGCCAGAATTTGACCTTGAGGAACTGTAACCCCCCAAGTAACAAAGGTAACAAAGAACTTCTAATGAAATTAGAAGATTAAAAAAAAAATCTTATAGGAATGATGAACAGAGAAGAATATGGAGTGGACCAGTGATTTTCAATTTCAAAATAGCTCACCATTCGAGAGTGTTCGAGCTTTAACACAACCAGAGAATGGTTAGAAAGAGAGAATAATACCGGTTACATTCAAAAATCAAAACGCTTCCCCTTTTGTCTCTGAAGGAAGAAAATGCGTGTCAGAGCTGTCTCACTCACTAGTCACTATACTGTTGATTCTCTCTCTCTAGAGTATTATACTGGCAAAAAATGTACGTATATATATGTATATACGGTTACATTCAAAAATCAAAACTCGTCTCTCTCTATCTGAAAATTCCAGAGCTGTGTCACTGCGCCCTTGTCTCTGTCTCTCTCTCATGAAACTGTTTTGAGGTTTTCACATTGTGGTTTAAACATCGTGTATAAGTTAAGGAATCTGACGGCAGAGATTACGGAATAGAACAGTGATCTGACCGTTGGGATTGGTGGAATTTGAAACTGGGTTAAATTATTATATATTTTACGTCACCAAGGAGAAGAGCTGGCATGGCAGAAGTACGCTGCAGCTGCTTCAGTTGTCACTTTGCACGTGGATTCATGGACGAGCTCTTGCAAAACCGGACGCGATTGAACCGGGTCGAGCTTAATTAATATTATTTATTTATATTGTAGAAATATATTGACACCTTGTTTCATCCCTCTTTTTTTAAAATATATTTTTCTCTTTTTTTAAACTATACATTTTTCAATAAAATAATATTACACGTAAATTCAAAAAAAAAAATTATTGTTTAAACACATTATCCATCAATCTATTATTCCAAAATGCATTCTACATCAAAAAAAAAAAAAAAAGTAGGCTCAAATAGGCCGTATATGTGGTAGGTCTAAAATTTCCTCTTTATATAAAGGTCATTAGGACAAATCTTTCACGTTAAAAGAGCGAAAGGATGACGCCGATTGTAATCTTCTTCTTTCTTGTAGTGAGATTTCAGTAAAGGGCGTGTTGAGAATGATTTATATTACAAATTTATAAGTAATTTATAATTTTAATTAAAATCGAATATTAATTTCAACCAAATATTTATAAATATTAGTCATTATTATTCACATATTTATAAGATCATAGGCCAACTCTCCCGTTGACTCTAGGTTTATCTCCCAATAATGTTATGTAGTCCCAGTGTGGTTGTATCCCTAGTGTAGATGGCATTAAATGATTGGCTGAATGATGGGTGAAATTAAATAAGTAATGCCACATTAACCATCCCCAGTAGGGATGAAAATAAAATGAAGTCAACTTATGTACATGTGTAAGGTAGAAAAAAAAATACAATACAATTAATTTTGACAAATTCTTATAATTTTTCATCATTATAAAATAAGAAGCTTCATCATTATAGCACGTATGGGTCCAACTTGACATAGACATAGTGAGTATTCATTGAATATCTACTTTGAGTACACTCAACTATCAGATTTTTTTAAAAGGTAATATGATTACCGTCCAAGAAAATAATAAGCGGAAAAAGTAATTTAAAAATAGTAGTTGATAATACAAAACAATAGTGATTATATATAATAGTATACTCTAAAATTGTCTATTTTCTACATCATATTCATTGTTAGCGCATTTATCATACTTAACAGTAATTTTTTTTAGTAGCAAGTGGAGGATGTACAAACCAAAGTACCAACCCAAACGGAATGCATCTTATTCCCATTCTTTTCTGAATAATTCTTGGTGTACATAAAATTTGGTATATAAGGGTGTCCACACCCTCACACGGTGTACATGTAGCATGTCCCTTATTTTCCTTCATCAAATCCAGACCTATCATAAGTGAGAAAATAAAATTATAAGTTTGTTTAAATTAATCACAAGCCACCTTAAATTGGTTAATTAAAAAATTGTAAAATACTAATGTAGTAGAAATGAGTGGTTGATAAATCGATATTAATTGTGGATCCTACGAGATGTGTGATTAAAATTAATTTTGACTTTCACTATTAAATTATTTTCCAAACATATGTGAAACATTTGTTTATTAAAAGTTAACGATTGAAACATTAATGTGATTAGTTCATTTTTAATGGTTAGTGTTGACCCGAAAAAATGAGTTCAACAGAATCCCCGCCATGTCCCCTTCACGTGGACATCACCGCACACTAAACACCCCGTTAGGAGGCAAAAGCCGCCAGTCAAGAAAAAAGGGTCTGGTGACCGTTAGCACTCCGACAGTCAAGTCAGCTGCCGGACGAGGAAAATATAAGTGCAAGAGATGAAGATGATAGGATTAGAGAACATACCTTAAAATGAAATGAATCACACATATATATAGAAAACATAAACGTAAATGGGCCATATTTGCAATGGGCCGAGGTCCAAACCGATGCTCATGAGGCTTTCAGCCGAGGTACTATGCAAGTGGATGAGGACCTTCAGCTGATGCTCTTTCTAAATGGAAGAGGCCTTCAGCCGAGGCTCTTCACATGAAGACCTCCAATCCGAGGCTCCTTTAGGCTGAAGTCCATGCTGTCTTTTAGAGGACCTTCTAAGTCAATGTCATGTCAGCAATGTGGGACCCTTCATATCATGTGTGTGGCACGTAACCTCAGCCTATTGCCTTACTGGGATCTTTGACCTGTTGGGTCTCCTTTTGACTTTTCGTTGATTGTCATGCTTACGTGACGTGCTACATGGCCTTGCTTTTTTAAACCTCGAAATCGAGGGGTAACAGTTAGTTTACAAAAATAGGAAAAAAAGGCTTTGAAATGGAAAATATTGATTTTTGTTAAATTATATTATAAAATTGCAACATAAATTCGCTCTCAAAGGAAACTACGCCGTATCTATTTTTATTTTTTCCGACGTATATGTAACTTTTTTACAGCGACATTTGAAAATTCTTGCATTTAATAAGTTACAACGATTGTAATCTATATTTTATGTTAATTTTTTATAGTATATGTAG